CGTGGTGACCCCCCTGGTGTCTCCCCCCCCCCCCAAAAAAACCCCTCGTGGTGACCCCTCCCCGGTGTCCCCACAGGCTGCAGGACCTGGAGAGTGATGAGGAGACCCTGAGTGAGAAGGTGAGTCCCCCTCCCCAAATTTTGGGGGGGGGTGGTGGGGTGGGTGTCCCCAGAGTGTCCCCCAGTGTCCCCCCCTGTCCCCAGTGTCCCCCCAGTGTCCCCTCCATCCCCTTTTGGGGGCTCGACTGGGACTGACCGGGTTTGTTTTCCCCCCCAGGCCGAGGCTCTGCGGCAGCTGGCGGAGCTGGAGGCCAAACTGCGGCGCCACGAGCTCTCCGAGGTCAGTGCCCCCCTTCCCTGTGTCCCCCTGTGTCCCCCTGTGTCCCCAATCCCGGTTTTGGGGGGGTTTATCCCAGTTTTTGGGGGGGTTTATCCCAGTTTTTTCCACCCCCACCCCCTCCAGGAGCGCTACCTGGCCCAGGTGAAGGCGCTGGGAGCTCCCATCAATCCCCTCCTTCCCTGCACCCCCCTGTCCCCCCCTGACCAATCCAGGGGGGTTTATCCCAGTTTTGGGGGGTTTATCCCAGTTTTGGGGGGGTTTATCCCAGTTTTGGGGGGTTTTTATCCCAAATTTTTCCCACCCCCACCCCCTCCAGGAGCGCTACCTGGCCCAGGTGAAGGCGCTGGGAGCTCTCATCAATCCCCTCCTTCCCTGCACCCCCCTGCCCCCCAGTCCCATTTCTGGGAGGGTTATCTTGGTTGGGGGGGGGGTTATCCCGTTTTTTGGGGGTGTTTATCCCAAATTTTCCCCACCCCCACCCCCTCCAGGAGCGCTACCTGGCCCAGGTGAAGGCGCTGGGAGCTCTCATCAATCCCCTCCTTCCCTTGACCCCTCTGTCCCCCCAGTCCCATTTTTGGGGGGGTTATCTTGGTTGGGGGGAGGGTTATCCCGTTTTTTGGGGGTTTTTATCCCAAATTTTCCCCACCCCCACCCCCTCCAGGAGCGCTACCTGGCCCAGGTGAAGGCGCTGGGAGCTCTCATCAATCCCCTCCTTCCCTGCACCCCCCTGTCCCCCCCTGACCAATCCAGGATTTTGGGGGGGGTTTATCCCAGTTTTGGGGTGTTTATCCCAGTTTTGGGGGGGTTTATCCCA